TTTTTCTAATTTACATATTTATAGATATTAAAAGATGAACCTAAAGGTATTGATATTCAGTTTCTAAATGAGTCTTCCCGACAAAGTTATACAAGAAATGTTGACACTGCGTGAAAACAACCAATATAACTAAGTTATCACATTAAAGAAGGTTTATCCAACAAGAATCACGGAATGATAAACTCAAGACAGAATATTATACGTGCTCCATGCACTGTGATTGTTTTAATTTTTAAATCAGACATGTTTATGCATACTAAAGGACAGTGATCAAACTTGTATCAGCCAACCATATGTTCAGAAAGGTAAGAGGAAGCTAAACCTATACCATATGGAAACTAAAGGAACTTATGACAAAGGGGAAGGTAATTAATAACACATGGATCATACTTTGCAGCTCGAACTTGGACCCTGAAAAAGTTCGGATCTAATGCAACAGCCTTCATACAATCCTCAAGTGCTTCTCTCATTCTTCCAAGAGACATACGTGTTGCTGCACGGTTGCTATAACATAACATTAAAGCCCGAAGACAGCTCTTAGATGTCTCGCTTCCAGACACACAGTTCAGTCCTTGTGTGTAGAATTCCTCCGCTTTAGACAAGTTCCCATTTGCATAGGCTTGATTCCCCCTAATATAAATAGAGATCACAAGCATGAACTTCGGACAAAAATGCAACAAAAAAAGGAATAAGTGAGTGAACAAGGTAAATCCCTCCATGATAAAAAACAGTAACTTGTACCTCAATCGCCATTTTTCACAAGCTTCCTGAGCAGCCATGCTTGCCGCAACCGTTTCATGGTTGACCTTCTGCACCTTAGCTGGTTCATCATTTCCCTGGCTATGGCTTGTCAAAGCAGGTATATATCCTTTCTTACCCTGAGTGGGAGATGAAAGAGGAGATCCAGAAACTTGCAAAAATTGCACTGGTGATGATGAGAAAGAAAATTGCGTAGTTGACATTGAACTACACGAATCATTGGTGAGCTTCGTTCGATTTTTCTTCTTCTGTTGCCGTGTTGCTGCTGCTATCTGATTTTGAGCAACAGAGGATGCACCAAATATGAAGTTACCCTCAATGCAACACTCCTCAAAATTTGAAGTAACACTAAACTGACTTCCTCCATCGCTATCTTGTCTCTCAATTGTTGATTTGGAAGTCACTTCATTTTCTGCTGCAGTTACGAAAGAATCAGTACTATAATCTAAATGCTCGGTAGCAGATTTGAAGCTTTCAGTCTCAGTCCCAGATATAGACTCTTCAAAAGGACCGCCTGTATCTACACCATGATGAATAAAGTGTCCAAATTTTACTTCTTGTGTTTCGTTGTATGTCACATCATTTTCATTGATATTCATGCGTTCTGTTGCATCTACCAGATCTTCATCTGTTACATCATTTGCAACCACTGGTCGTGAATCACTACATCCATAATTCTCATTCGGACTACAGGACTCATCGGAAGCCAAAGAAGTTTCCCTTGACAATGTATTATCTGTTGGTGGTTCACGATACGGAGAAATATCCATTGGTGAATATGGTTCGGAAGGTTCGGCATTCTCTTCTGAACTTCCTCTGAAGGCAAAGTCTTGAGCAAAGTCCACTGGAGTTGAGTGTGTTTGCTTAGGCTTCCCTTTCTTTTTCTTGTATCTGGGGTCTTTAGTCGCTTCCCTTCTAGTTTCAACTTTCTTATTTAAGCTTCCTTTAACAGTTGGTGTCTTAAATCCAAAATTTTGCATTAGCATACCATCAGACTTTGTAGTGAAACTAAATTCAACCGGATTAGTAAAGGGACTATTCCGCGTTGCTGCCTGAAATGAGAACCCTGAAGGAATTGAATCTGAAATTCCACCAGCATCGGTATTGCCCGAAAACTCAGTCTTCCCTTTATCCACATTATCTGCGGAAGCAGGCAAATCGGTCTGTGTTTGACCAAAATGGTTTCTGCTTCTGCTTCCAACTCCTGACTCATTCACATTATCATGCTTATTAACAATATTTCCACTGGGGTCACTTGAACTTGGATCAACCTTTACATTCTCATTAGCAACATAAGAACCCATAGGCTCATTTATATGCATGTTTTTCATCTTATCATGAAGCAAGGTCTCTGAGCTTCCACCCAAAGAGCCTCTTTCCATATATGCATAGTCCTTCACGTCATTCTCAATGCTTTCTTTGATATTCAACTTGTTCATCTCATTCAAGAGTTTAACTCCTACACCCTCACCAAACTTATTATCAACATTTTCACTACTCGACAAGCTGCCAAACACGTTAAACTCGGGTTTTACATTCGGTGCAGAGTCAACATTTCCCTCACTATCAATGTTTAACTTGCTCTCCATCTCCTTGCTTACCATTTCATCAAGTTTCGCATCGCCACCCGTAAACACGAAAGACCCTCCTTTATCAGCAACAGAATTAACCACATTGTTGTTTACACCACTCACATTCATTTTCTTCCCACTTTCAAGTTTCAGTTTTCTCATTTCATCAACAAGAAATGTTCCTTCGCCTACATTGATATTTGAATTTGCTCCAAACGGACCACTTTTATCATTACTACCACTAATTCTACTAGCTCCAAAAACAAACCCTTTATTACCAGCATCCCCACTACCCCAATACCCCAAATTACCCCCCACCCCCAAACCCATGTCCATTTCTTGATTTTCCACAAAACCCTTAAAAGGGTTGAAAGGTTGATCCTTTTTATGAGAACCCGTGTATTTCTTCTTATACAATCTGGGTTTTTGCAGCTTTGCAGAAGACCCAAATGGAGACGGGTTCGGATCTTGACCCTGACCCGTATGTCCAAGATTGTGATCCATTGGAACCCCACAAAATATTTTCTGCTGCTTTGAAAGATTATAAGAAGATTGAGTGTTAGAAATCTGACCTTTATGAAGATACAAATCTCCGGTATCAGTCAACGCCGGCGACATAAGTCATCTAATCGAACGGATGGCGTTTACTCCCATAAATTCTGATCATGAAATAATTTGGTTTGTTTTTGGGAGAAATCAAATGAAGCTTGTAGAGGAGGGTCTACTTCCTCCTTAATTTTCTTTTTAGCTTACTATTTTCTAATTGTTGTTTAATTATTGTTGTTTGTTTACAAATTTTCATGTTGTGTGTGTATACATTTTTATTTTTTTTAAATCTTTGGTTTCTTAATCATGAGGGTTTTTTATTTTATTTTATTCCATGACTGTGGGAATTTTATGTTTTTGAATATGACAGTTCTTTTTTTTTAATTTTATTTTATTTTTTTAAATGTTTGTCTTTATCTTTTTATAGGATCTTTTAGTGGCCTTTCATATTTTTCAGGTCCATATAATAACAATTGTTTTCATTCTGTGGTGTGATGCAAATTGTTCATCTTTTAATTTGAATAATTATTTTTACATTGAGTGTGTTTGGTGTTATTTATACGTTATGTCCCTTTATAATTTTAAATTTAAGAAAATGACCTTTTTAGATATCTTAGTGTAAAAGATATATCTCTCATGTGTAAAAAAAAAAAAAAAAAGTAGGGTCATAAAACTAAAAACAAGTTTGTAAAGAGCCAAAAAACCAATTGACCTGTTTGGTGCTATTTTGCATTGTTATTATTTTGATATGGATTGAATATTCAAATAAATACCTTTGTCCTTACAAATAATTGAGTGGAATGAATATATCAATCATATGAGACTTGAAAACAAAAATAATCCTTTTATGAGTGTTATTAAGAGATTAACTAGTTATATGAATCTATTATTTGTATCGCAATAAAATGATGTATGCACAATTAATGAAACATGAACTAGGTCAAGAATTATACGGACAAAAGGATAATTTGGGATAGAGCTTCACCAATTGACCTATACTAAGGTTAATCAATATGAAAATTCCTTAAGACACAATTGATCTTCTCGAATACAAACGACTATCAAAAAGTGACTAAACATATAAGTTTATTTTCGCTTAAATCATACCTTTTGTACACTTCATAATGTAAAAGTAATATGAAACAAGCTTTTATAAAATGGTAGCGGTTTTAAATATGCACCATTAAGCTTGATATTGTCTATTATGAATGATCTAGTCATAAGAATATCCCCTTGTACTTCACAATATAAGTGTAATAGAAACTAGCTTTATAAAATGACAGCGTTCCTAAAAATACATCATTAAGCTTGATATTGTCTATTCTAAATGATAGTCATAAAAATATCCCCTTCTACTTGAATTTCAAAACAAATTTTGTCTATAATGCATTTAGAACAACACAATTAATGAGAATTTTAATTCTCGGTAAAATAAAAATATATTTACAAGAGTACAAGCATAATTTTGATCATTGCCACGTCCAACACAATTTACAAGCATTAATCTACCACCTTATGGAAGCAAAGGTAAGGATCTATTAGGAAAAAAACGTAGGTCTAACCAAAATAATTATCTGTGTATTTAAAAAGTATTATTTTATGACGAAACTCAATGTTTTATATTGTTTTGATGTGCGTTAATTTCTTTTTTGAATTTTTTTTCTATTTTTGTTCACAGCAATGTTTTATCTGGAAAAGAAAAATTAATATTTAAAAAGTATTATTTTATGACGAAACTCAATGTTTTATATTGTTTTGACGTGCGTTAATTTCTTTTTTGAATTTTTTTTCTATTTTTGTTCACAGCAATGTTTTATCTGGAAAAGAAAAAATAACTTGTTTTTCAAATATTAATTTTTCTTAACTTCTCCACAAAACTACAAAAGAAATTATTTTGATAAAGTTTGAAACCAAAAGAATTTTCAGATAACTTGTTGAAAGTTTAAGACAACCAAAATAAACAAAGCTAGAAAACCTGAAAAGAATTTACCAAAACAATTTCAACCATTTCTCCAACCAAACCCTTTTTTTGTGTGTGTTTTGTTGATTTTTTTCTATTTTTTTAAAAAAAATTCTTTTTTCTAAAAAAAAACATTTTTATTACTCTTTTTTGAAAATCAAATCTCTTAATTCCTCAGTCCATCAGTTGCTCGCCGTCTCTGCTCCGTCTGCTCCATGTCTCTGCTTTTCTACAGAGGTTCTCTTTTTCTCCTCTTCATATTAATTCCTGTCATACTGTTCTAAAATTTGCTAAAATCTTGNAATTATATACTACCGAGTTTAAACGTGCGCCAATGGCCCTCGAGGATTTATGGGTTATAGAAAAAACTGAGCTTATTCTTTTTAGTTACTAACTTAAAACGTTCAAATCTGGAATCGTTCCCAATTAGCTTAAATTTTTAGTTAAGGTGTTGAACAGTTGAATAAATAAAGAAGTGATTGGAATTACTAGTGTGGGCAGCGTTCATTATGTTTGCGTGATTGAACTTTGGTTGAAACTAGTGTTGCTTTTATCATTTGATGGACCGATACAAGAATCTAGCATCATCTTTTTGCAGTGCAATTTTCTTCTAGGGTTTATAAGTTGCTAAGCACTAATTAAATGGAAAGCTATGACTGACATGTGTCCAGTGGTTTGGGGGGCTGAGGGGCTGGGAAGAAGATACTAGTATAGCAATATTGTAACTGATGTAAATAAGAAAAGCTTCTTGGTTTCAAATGCATGCTGAAGTAACTTGATACATGGCTCTTGCACATGTTTTTCTATATAATTTTTGACAGTACATATTCTAAACATGTCTTGTCTTATATTTTCAGATTTAGCATTCTTTTTGTTCCGTCAACATACACTTCAAGTGTCTGGAGCTGTATTACTCTACAAACAAGACTATAGTGAGACTTGACTATGTTTCTGACAAGCAATGTCCACCCGCGTTCTTCTGCACGTGAGTGCGTTTTCTCTATCCCAAGTGAACTCCCAACGTCTCTTTTCCGTGGAGTATGCTGTAAAGTCAGGGGCGGATCCAGCCTTTTGGTACCGGGTTCATCTGAACCCAGTACTATCGACGTGGAGCACAAATTTATGTTAAATTATAACAAATAGTAGTTATGAATCCACAACTTTAAAAATATAATCGGTTCAAGGCTAAAAATCTTAAAAATTGAACCCATAGAATTTAAATCCTAGATCCGCCTCTGTGTAAAGTTGTTGAAAAAGTTAGTTGATGATGGAACTTCAAGTTGGGAAAAGCTGTTCATGCACTTCTTGTTGTTTCTAGTAATGTCTCAGAAGACCACATAATTCAGAATAATTGTCTCATTAATCTCTACTCGAGGTGTGGACAACTTGCTGTTGCTCGGCAGGTGTTTGACAGATTGAGTCAACGAAATGTAGTTTCTTGGAGCTTTTTAATGGCAGGGTATTTGCACAATGGGTATGCTTGGGAAGTAACCAAATTGTTCAAAGACATGATTTCAGTGGATAAAATATTCCCAAATGAGTATGTCTTGTCTACCGTACTTTCTTCTTGTTCTAGCGGTGGTTTGCTACACGAAGGGCGGCAGTGTCATGCGTTAGTGTTGAAAGCAGGATTGGTCTTTCATCAATATGTGAAGAATGCTCTTCTATCCTTGTATACAGTGTCTTCAGATATGGAAGGGGTTTTGGAAATCTTGAAGTCTGTTCCTGGATTAGACATCATTACTTATAATTCTATACTGAAGGGGTTCTTGGATCATGGGTATACAAGTGAAGCGTTGGATGTTTTCTCAAGGATGTTGGCTGACGGCTCGGCGGGGGATAGTGTCAGTTACGTGAACATATTTGGTCTTTGTGCTCGCTTCAAGGATTTGAAGTTGGGTAAGCAAGTTCACTGCAGAATGCTGAAGTCTGGTCTTCAGCTTGATGTGTTTCTAAGCAGTGCAATCATGGACATGTACGGAAAGTGTGGTGAAATTTCAGGTGCAAGATATATTTTTGATTCTTAAGCGAACCATAATGTGGTGTCTTGGACGACAATCTTGGCTGCAAATTTCCAAAATGAATGCTTTGAGGAAGCCCTGAAACTGTTCTTACGAATGGAACTTCAGGATATTATTCCAAATGAATACACATTCGCAGTGTTGTTGAATTCCTGTGCAGGTCTATCAGCACTTGGTTACGGGAAAACATTACATGCACGTGTCGAGAAGACAGGATATGGTTTTTTTGTTGTAGTTGGAAATGCTTTGATCAATATGTATTTTAGGAATGGCCATATTGAAGCCACTAGGGCCTTGTTTTCAAACATGATATGTCGAGATACTGTTACTTGGAATATGATAATATCAGGTTTCTCTCATCATGGGCTTGGTGAGGAAGCATTGGATGTGTTTCAGCATATGTTAGCTGCCAAAGAGCAACCAAACTATGTAACCTTTGTCGGGGTTATTTTGGCTTGTGGACATTTGGGTAGGATAGAAGAAGGATTTTACTACTTGCAGCATCTAATGAGGGACATCGGCCTTGAACCTGGGTTAGAGCACTATACCTGTGTTGTTGGGCTCCTAGGTAAAGCTGGAACACTTGATGAGGCTGAGAATTTCATGAGGTCGACGCCAATCACATGGGATGTTGTTGCCTGGCGTACTTTGCTTAATGCTTGTAACGTCCACCGCAATTATGGTTTAGGAAAGAGAGTAGCAGAGCATTTGTTGCAACTGAACCCCAACGACGTGGGAACTTATATCCTGTTGTCCAATATGCATGCCAAGGTGAAAAGGTGGGATGGAGTAGCAAAGATACGGAAGCTATTAAGAGAAAGGAACATAAAGAAAGAACCTGGATTGAGCTGGACTGAAATAAGAAATGAAACTCATGTGCTTGTTTCTGATGACACTCAACTCCCAGAGACGGCTCAAATCCATGAGAAGGTGAGAAAATTGTTGGCTGAAATAAAACCATTGGGTTATGTTCCGGACATAGCTTCTGTCTTGCATGACGTTGAGCAAGAACAACAAGAGGGTTATCTGAGTTACCACAGCGAAAAGCTGGCTGTAGCATATGCTCTCATGAAAACACCATCCCAAGCGCCAATTCATGTTATTAAGAATCTCAGAATATGTGATGATTGCCATTCTGCTTTGAAGCTTATCTCTAAGGTCACAATGAGAACGATAGTTGTAAGAGATGTCAATCGATTCCACAGCTTTCAAGATGGGTCCTGTTCATGTGCCGATTATTGGTGAAAAAGCACAAGTTTGACATAAAGTTTCGTACACTGTGTCAAAGGAGATTTATGCTTGCTGCTCATGTTCTCAGCCAACTAGAGATAGTGAGCTTGAACAAAGCTCTTTTAACTACACAGCCATGTAAGTTGTCTGAAACGGCCATTCATCATATAATAAGTTTGTTTCTAGCTTCCAAAATTCTAATAATATTCATTACATTGAAATCAATAAGTTAGAAATTATAATAATATTCATTCTAATAAGTTTGTTATTGCTGCTGTTGTTGTTGTATCCTTACAAAATTCTTGTTGTTTCTTCTTTTCGCCTTCTGAACAGAATTAACTATAACCTGATGGCATTGTAATTAGGTGTTCATATGTACACAAACTTATTGAGTTCATAATTTGTTTATGTTTAATTTGTGTTTGATCAAGCTGGAAACACAGTTGCCAGTATCTTACAATATGCAGATACTGTAATGTATTAGTGATTGTATCATTCCAATTTGTATTTTATGATTTCTAGACATATCTTAAAATTCTTGTACAATATAATTTAGGCTATGCCAACAGAGAATGAGATGTTCTGCAAAATTTTGGGCGGGCAGTTTTCACCGTGGAGACTTGATTCACAGAATCCACATGTAAATCTTGGACTTCTGTCTAGTTTTCCAGGGAGGATATCTAAGCTGTCACGGATGCTTGGACGCTGAGAATCACTTCAAAGATGATTTTTTGGGTGTAACCATTCGATATCCGGTACTACCGCTGCATAGGGCCATTAAATGGGAAGCGCTCCCTACCCGGAGTTTCTCCATTTTCAGGACTAAAACTCGAGACCTCTACTTTGAATTTTAGTGAAGGTAAATAAAGATATTAATTGTTCGTCTCAACTGTAATAGGGTGCCTAGGAGGTCATATAATGGTTTAGCAACTTTTGAATAAAGCTGTTACTTCCCTTTTGAGACAGATAATTTGACAATATAGCATGGGAAGGTGTATCTAAGAAGTAGACATGAGAAAGGGCTGCCTTCTAGTGCTTGAGAAAGAAGCATCTTTCCATACATCATACTGCCAAGCCAAAGTGACAGGCTTATCCTGCTAACAACTCAATTTACCAGGTTTTTCCTCCTCCGCGATAATGCAGGAGGAAAGGTGTATAGAAGAAACAGACTTGCTAGAAAAAAAAAGAAAAATTTCTGTTCTCCGAAATTGCACAAATGAAGAGAGATCACTTTACAGTAGCAGGAACATGTTGTCGCTGTGCAGTCATTTATGATATTCATCATCTTGCAGAAATGCAGGATAAGGTTGCGTACAATAGACCCTTGTGGTCCGGCCCTTTCCCGGACCCGCACCGGACTGCCCTTTTTTATCATCTGTTCAAATAAAATCTTTATAACCTTACATCACATGGAGCACACAATGTTGGTCATGATATCAATATGTCCATGAAAATAAATAGAAACATAGAGATAGCAAATCTACACTTCTCTGATCTCCCCTATCTCTCCGGAACATGTTATTGCTAAACTCAAGCCCACAGGGCTATGTTAATGAAATGCTTAGATTTGTAAATGTTGATTTGCATAAGTACTTCTGCCTGGCCAGTTGGTTCATATTTTATTGCCAGCTTAGTTACTGCCCATATAAATGTCCAATTGCTGAACTAGAGTTGACAATGAATCAAAGTTGCTTGTGCTGGAGGAGACAATGACATGAAAACATATGAAAGCCATGACATGTATGTATACAAGAAACTCTGACAGAAAGGAGAAAGAGCATCTATCTAGCATACATAGGCCCGTGGCAGGTCGCTTACATTAATATGTACGCAATAATAATAATAATAATAATAATAATAATAATAATAATAATAATAATAATAATAACAACAACATGAATAGAGGTAAGACATGTAAGTCATATCAACAATCGAGACCAATTCGGCAGTCACAATCAATTATTTCTTTTATCATTCTATTTCGACGTGCAATTCGTTCCCACAATATAATCTTTCTAATAAATTCTGTTGCGGCGTGCAACCCGATCCAATAATATAAACTTTCAAATATTTTTGTTGCGGCGTGCAACCTGATCCCACAGTATAACCTTTCAAATAGATTCCGTTGTGGCGTGTAACCCGATTCAATAATATAAATTAATAACACTTATACGTAAGACTACTTCAATAAATGCACAATTAATATGAAATTATTAGGCAACAAGGTATACAACAATTATAAATTATGTAGGAAGCAGATAGGGGGCAAGTAACAAATAAGTGTAGAATCAGGGAGGAGATAGACAATTTAATATACGAAATGCTAATTGTCAAGTAGCAATTATGGCACAAAAATCAATTAAACAGGTAGCAATTAAGGCATGAAATCAAAGCATAATAGTAGGCAATGAAAATAATAGAATCAATTAATTCATGAAATGAGGCAATTAGCGGATATGTAGAAACATGAAAACAAGCAATTTGACGACGCATAGACACTCGTCACCTCGCTTATACGTCGTTACACATGAAATTCACATAACACATAGTTCAAGGGTTCTATTCCCTCAAGTCAAGGTTAACCACGACACTTACCTTGCTTCGCAATTCAAGTGATCACTCGACCACAATTTTTCCTTTCGAATTAGTCTCCAACCTAATCAAACCTATCAATTTATTGGCCAACAATTCAATTGGAGCTTTAGAAACTATTCACAGTTCGAAAGAGACTTAATTTAAGTTATTTTCGGAAAAGTCAATCGAAAGTCAACGTGGGACCCACTTTTCGGAATCCGACAAAAATTCACGAAATTCGAACACTCGTTCCGATATGAGTTCAACAATACAAAAATTATCGAATTCTAACATCGGATCGCCTTTTAAATCTTCATTTTCATTTTTGGAAGATTTTACAAAGACCCCCAATTTTCTTCCGTTCAATTCACTAATTAATGATGTAAATAAGTATGAAGTCAAGGAATATAACTAATTTCGGATAAAGAATACTTACCCAACTCAAACTCGTAAAAAATCCCTCTCAAATCACCAAAAACTGAGGTCTAAAACTATAAAAATGAACAAAAGTATCGGACTTCGAACTTATACATTATGTCCAGGCAAGTCGCATGTGTGAAATGCGATTTGTCTCATTATTTCCAGGCAAAAATTTGCAGTACCAGCCTTCAGTAAATTGATAATAACTTTCTGTACAGATGTCCAGTTGATTAATGGTTTACCTTTCTGGAAACTAGATTCAAACGGTTACAATTTTCATGTTTTGATCATCTCCAAATCCCGTCTAGATTACTATATATAAGTTTTCAAAGTCAGCCCTGTGCAGCAGAAATTTCTCACGATGCACACTGCCATCCAAAATAACTGTAGTACCAGTATTCAGTAAATCGATCATAACTTTCTGTATAAATGTCCAAATGATGAATAGTTTACATTTTTCTGGAAACTAGACTCAAAGAGCTACAACTTTCATTTACGGATCATCTCCAAATTCCTTACAGGTTACGAGATATAAGCTTCCAAAATCAGTCATGTGCAACAAATATTTCTCGCGATGCACATTGTTGTAGCAAAAAACCTAGCAATTAAAAATGGCCTAGAAATGGTCTGAAACTCGTCCGAAACTCATCCGAGCCACTCGGGACCCCGTCCAATTATACCAACCAGACCCGTAACTTAACGCGGACCAACTAGAGGTATCAAATCACGTCAAACAACGTCGAAACTATAAATCACAACTCGATTCAGATTTATGAGTTTATGAAATTTTCAATTCTATAACTCGCGCCGAAACATGTCAATTCAATCCAGAATCACCTCAAATTTTGTAGGTAAGTCCCAAATGATATAACGGAGCTATTTCAATTCTTAGAATCTCAGTCCAAGTCTGATATCGACAAAGCCAAATATATTGTCAAACTTTGGAAATTTTTAACCTTTAAGTTTCTAGATTTCGTCAAATGGTGATAATTCGAGCTAGAGACTTCCGAATTTGATTCCGGGCATGCGCCCAAGTCCCAAATCACAATACGGATCCACCGAAATCATCAAAATATTGATCCGGGTTCGTCTGCTCAAAACGTTGACCGAAGTCAACTTTAAAGCACAATTTCACATTTTAATTAATTTTTCACATACAAAAATTCCGGAAAAAATATACGGGCTGCACACGCAAATCAAGAAATTCTGAATGATGCTATTCGAGATCTCAGAACACATAATTGAATGTTAAATTTAAAGATGACCTATCGGGTCATCACTGATTAATTTTATGGTCTTCTTTTTGGTATTACAATCGTCTTCATGTATTTTTTATTATTATTTATTAGTCATTTACAGATCCATTTACTCGTAAGTTGTACAATGAGCTATTGAATATGCGATCATATTACATTTTTAATCATCATTAGTGGGTAATTTTGACTTAAAATTGTGTACCAAAAATGTGATTAAGTCATAACTTTCAATGAGTTAACCAATGATGAAACTTGATTAGAGTGACATATTCTGCTAAATAAAATCAATCTCATTATAGGCAAAAATTATACACCCTATATCCCCAAAACGCTCGTCACTTATTGGGATAATTTAATCAATTTCACAGCTAAAATCACATTTGTTTATTCAATTCAAAAAGATAAGATTTTGATTTACAAGTACTATGTAAAAATGTACTAAAAATTGCATTTCCTCACATATTAAGTTGACAAAGTAATACGTTTAGGAAATTACAACCAAAGATCACTTATTTACTAATCTAAGTGGAAAAACTATACAGTATAGCCGCTTTATAAAATAATAGCCGATATATATATATATATATATATATATATATATATATATATATATATATATATATATATATATATAGCAGTGTATATTTTTGTATATTTGGCTAATGAATGTAATTATTTTTGACGGACCGGCCAAATGTGTAACTTGGCTATAAAAATAGAAGAATTAACCTAAATAGCCGCCCACCTAACAACTTAAACTAAAAATAGCTAGTGGAGGTATAATATATACATAATTTATGTATTATATGTGTATAATTATGTATAATCAATGTATAAACTATATATATGACTACAAAAGTAAATAATGAATATGACCGACTATTTGTGTAAAGATTAATTATTGATCCCAAGCCCAAATTTTATGTAACGGGCCGGAGGAAAAACAAACAAATTGAGCCCAAATTCATCCATTTTCTTGCGAAAGAATTCTTTGCCAAAATCTCCTCTCTACAGTCTTCTCTTCCCCCATCTCATTACCGCAGCGATCTCCTCGCTTTTCTCATGTCCAAATCAAACCTGTATGTTTCTATTTCTCTTCATATATTCCCCTATATTTTTATGTATAATTAGACCAAGACTTTTATTCTTTTTTTGGGGCAATCATGTTAATGGATTAAGAACAAATATTAGTGAATTTTGATTTATAATGCTTTGTTTGCTTCTATTTATCTAATTAGACCAAAACCCTTTTTCCCTTTTTACAGTGATATTTAATCGGTTAAACTCAAAATTTAATATATTTGCTCAACTGTGATATTATTGCTCCTTGTGATTTTTGCAAGTTTATATGTGTTCTTTTTTTTTTGGACAACCGTGATGTCCGGCTCAACTTGCGCGCACGGTAACTTTGTCCACCAAGACTTGAACAAATGAGAATAAATCATGCTTTTGTCTCTTTTGGGATTTGAACCTGGAATTTTATGGTTATTTTTTTTCAATGTTATAATTGCTCAAATTTGTGATGGGTATATTAAGTTTGCTTTAAGAAGTAAGAATCAGCTATCTGAAAATCTAGATGGGCTTAGTTCAAATGGCAAAGGTTGAAGGAATTGAGACAGGTCATAGGTTCGACCCTATGTGAACTAAGCATGTTATTTAAGTGGGGAAGGGTAGAGGGGAGGGTCCATTATATTCGAGTTTCGAAGGCTGTTGTTGGTCCTAAGAGTTGGCCCCAGACAGATTTCTTGGCAAGCCAAAAAAAGAAATATGGGCTTACCCCTTGCTCCTTTGCTAGTACGGGGGAATTTGGATGTCTACCATACCTGGTCTTTCACTCCAATTTTTGAAAATCTTGATGACTAATTAACTTTTGTGCTCCCACGGCCTCTAATATGGACCCCTCATTGTTGTTCTTGCTTTTTCTGATTACCTATGGTTTCCTGCTGTGTTCATTATTCACCATATGTTTCTCCTCTGAGGCTTTGGTCTATCAGTAAGAGCGCAACGTGTGATGTGTGGGTTAGGTTCACGCCGTGCCATATACCAAAGCCTGGTATTTAAGTTAGTAGAGAAGATAGAAAGGCGGGCCAATCAGCCACCGAATTTCAAATTGTGTGCCATTAGCCCTCGAGGATTTCTCGATTATAAAAAACAAAAAATATTCACCATAACATCCGTAACTCTGTTTGCATCTAGGTGCCCATGATATTCCAAGGAATGACCCAACTACGTTTAATAGTTGTATGTCATAACTCATAAACTCCTTTCATTCTATCTT